GCCTGTGGTAAACCCTAAACCCTAAACCCTAAACCCTAAATTGGTGTTTTGGGGTTGTTTTGCTTCGTTTTTCAGCTGCTTTTTCGCAGTTTACTATTCCCGGAATAATTAACAATTGTTTATTCATTTTAATTGATTTTATTTATTTTTATTTATTTATTTTTATTCTTTTATTGTTTTTATTCTTTTTATTTTATTTTTCATTTTCAGAATTCAGGACTGGCAGACGTCTACTGGCAAATCGCGCAAGCAGCGCCGCATCTCGAAGACGAAAAAAATAAAGTTCGTTTTTAATTATTTCATTTAATTAATTTAATTAAATTAAATTAATTAAATTTAATCAATTTAAGTTGGTAATTTTAATTAATTTAATTTAATTTAATTTAATTAATTTAGCTTAACTTAATTTAATTTGGTTAGTTATTTATTTCATTTTGTTTATTTTATTTATTCATTTTTTCACTTATTTGCTTTTTTGTTTATTTGCCAGCTGAGTCTGTCAAACTGCTTTTTACTTTTTTGCTTTTGCATTTATTTATTATTTGGCATTTGTTTTAATTCATTTACTAAATATAAATTTGGGTTTATTTCATTTAATTATTTACTTTTAATTATTTTATTTTTTATTTATTTTATTTATTTAAATTTAATTTTATTTCTTTAAGTGCTGTCTGTACACAGGACGGAATGACTCCGGTGGGAACGGCGCGAATGAACTTCATGAAAGAATTGGAAAAAAAACTAAAAAATTTGAAAGATGAAGAAGAAGAAGAAATTGAATAAATAAAATGAACAAATAAACGGAATTAAATAAATAAATAAATAAATAAATAAACAGAAATAAATAAATAAATAAATTAATTAATTAACTAATTAATTAATTAAACAAAAAAGGAAAAGATGAATCCACAAAATGGTGGAGTGGTGAAAAAGGCGTTTTCGGGGAACTTCGCCAACTGGCTCTTTTCGTTTTTAAGTGAAATAAATAAAACTAAAATAATAAATAAATAAATAAATAAAATAAATAATAAATAAATAAACAAATAAATAAATAAATAAATAAATAAATAAATAAAATAAATAAATAAATAAAAGAATTAAAAAAGAAAAGTTTTCAAACGCCGATGGAGTCTGGGGGCCATTTGGTGAAGGAAGTTCTTTTGTGTCTCAAGAAGTTCGTCTTTTTCTGAAATTCATTTTTGAGCGCATTTAAGTCATTTAAATCATTTAAATCATTCAAATTATTTAAATTATTTAATTTATTTAATTTATTTAATTCATTTAATTCATTTAATTCATTTAATTCCTCCAAATGCTTCAAATCGCCTTTTCCAATTCCCAACAACGCCCCGCGCTCCTCAGGTGTACGTACACCCGAAAACTGCGCCAGCAAACGACTCAGCTGATTTTCTTTTTGTCCAAAAGACAACTTTTCCCACAAACACCTGCAGCATTAAATGGCATTATTTTTAGTTTATTTGTTTTATTAATTCGAAACAAAGCCAGCAGCAGCAGCAGCAGCAGCAGCAGCAGCAGAAAAGGCGGAGTTCCAGCACCCATACGAGCAGTTGCAGCAGCGGCAACATCTGTAGCAGCAGCAGCAACAGCTGCAGCAGCAGCTATAATAGCAGCAGCAGTGGCACCTACAGCAGCAGCAGCTGTAACAGCAGCAGCAAGTACAACAGCATCAGCACCTATATCAGCAGCAGCAGCAATGACAGCAGCAGCAATGACAGCAGCAGCAAGACCAGCAGCAGTAGCAGCAGCAAGACCAGCAGCAGCAGCAGCAAGACCAGCAGCAGCAGCAGCAGCAGCATTACTTGTGAATAAGCGCAACATTAATCCCCAATTTGTTGAAAATGCGCTTTTTGCAAGCCAACAAACCAGAAGGCTTCGGGCGCCCCGGCCCTGCAGCAGCAGCAGCAGCAGCAACAGCAGCAGCAGCAACAGCAGCAGCAGCAGCAGATGAAGCCAAAGGAATTAAGAAAATGGGAATGCAGCAAAAGTAAAGCAAGGAGGGATTTTATTTTAATTAATTAATAATTAATTAGTTGTAATTAATTAATTAAAATGACTAAATTATAATTAATAAATGGCAATTAATAAATTTTAATAACAAATAATAAACGCGGAAAAAACAAAAATAAGGGGGAAAACAAATAAACCCTAAACCCTAAACCCTAAACCCTAAACCCTAAATGAGAGGCAAAAGGACACCAAATGAAAAGCAAATAAAAGGAAAAGAACAAAAGAAAGAGAATTAAATGGGCAACAAAATAAACCAAATAAATTAAATAAATCAAAATAAATAAATAAATAAATAAATAAATAAATAAATAAATAAATAAATAAATAAATAAAATATACCTAGAGGGTTTAAAGCGTCGCATTCAATTGCCAAATTTAATTCTTTAAAATAAAAATCCGCAAAAAATAAATGCTGCTCATCTTGCGGCCTTCCAAGAGAATAATTCAAAAGCCCTTTGCTGCTGCTGCTGCT